GGGAGGGGGGGTTGGGGTGGCTTTTTCGGGGGTCCCCCCTCAGGGGTACCCCCGGGGGGGGCTCCCCAAAACCCTCTCCAGGTATTTCTCCACCTGGCGGTCCCTCAGCGGGGGCGGGGGGCGCCGGGGCGGGGCCGGCAGGAAAGTCCTGGCCGGGATCCTGGGTTTGGGGGGCCGGCCCAGCTTGGGGGGGCTCTCCTCGGGGGGCGCCGCCGCGCCCAGGCCGGCCATGGCCAGCCCGATGCCGGCCTCCTCCTTGCGCTTCTGCTCCACGTCGTGGATGATGTCCACCACGTCGTCGGCCGGCAGGTGCAGCCTGCTGGACAGCTCGATCAGCTGGTCGATGGTGCCGGGGTCCAGCTCGTCCACCTCGGCCGGATCCTGCGGCGACTCCTCCTCGGAATCGCCCGCGGCCGCCTCCGACGACGACGCCGCGGCGGCGATCCGGTTGCGGTGGCCGCGCGCCGGGAGGATCTCGTTGTCCTCCAAGCCGCCGTTGCCGTCCAGGTCGTTGGCGGTGCCGGCGAAGCCGCCCCCGATCTTGAAGGCGCCGTTGTCCCCGAGGTCATCGTCGGCCTTCAGGTCGTCGCCGGCGCCGCCTCTGAGCTTGAAGCGCCGGTTGACCTTGAAGACCTCGTTGGCGTCGTTGGCGTCGTAGGCGCCCTTGTAGCCGTCGAGGTCGCCGCCGAGGCCGAACCTGTCCTTGGCCTTGTGGCCACCGAGGTCGCCGTTGAGGTCGAACCTGTCCTTGGCCTTGTAGCCCTGGTGGCCACCGAGGTCGTCGTTGAGGTCGTTGCCAAAACCAAACCTGTCCTTGGCCTTGTAGCCCTGGTGGCCACCGAGGTCGTCGTTGAGGTCGTCGTTGAGGTCGTTGCCAAAACCAAACCTGTCCTTGGCCTTGTAGCCATCAAGGTCGTTGCTGAGGTCATCGTTGAGGTCATTTCTGAGGCCAAACCTGTCCTTGCCTTTGTAGCCACCAAGGTCATCGTTGAGGTCATTGCCAAGGCCGAACCTGTCCTTGTCCTTGTAGGTTTGGTGGCCGTCAAGGTCATCGTTGAGGTCATTTCTGAGGCCAAAGCTGTCCTTGCCCTTGTAGGTTTGGTGGCCGTCAAGGTCATCGTTGAGGTCATTGCCGAGGCCGAACCTGTTCTTGGCCTTGTAGCCACCAAGGTCATTGCTGACGTCATCGCTGACGTCATCGTTGAGGTCGTTGCCAAGGCTGAACCTGTCCTTGCCCTTGTAGCCACCAAGGTCATCGCTGACGTCATCGCTGAGGTCATCGTTGAGGTCATCACCACCAAACCCATCCTTCCCCTTATAACCACCGACGCCATCACCGCCGAACCCCTCCTTGCCGTCCCCAAACCCTTCCTCCTCCTCCTCCTCCTCCTCCTCCTCCTCGGAGCGCTTGTCCTCGGCCACGGCGGCGCCGGGCCCGCGCAGCAGGTAGCGCAGCAGCAGGTCCGAGGCCAGGTCGGCCAGGCGCTCCTCCTCGGCCGCCGCCTTGCGCGCCGCCTGCGCCTGCCGCCGGCTCTCGGCCAGCTCCTGGTAGCGCCGCTCGAGCAGCCGGTGCTCCAGGCTCTGCTGCTGCCGCAGCTGCCGCGAGCTCGCCCAGCCCAGCTCCCGCTCCCGCTGCCGGTCGCGCTGCCGGTCGCGCTTGGCCTCGGCCCGCAGCCGGCCCAGCTCCTCCAGCTCCCGCAGCACGTCGGGCTGGGGGCTCAGCGCCGCCGGGGAGCGCCTGGAGACGGAGTGGGGAGGAGGGGGCTGCGGGGCGCTCCTGGGGGGCTGCGGGGTGGGCTGGGGGCGGCTCTGCACCAGGAGGGTGATGGAGAGCAGCAGGGCGGCGCTGCGCAGGGGGCGCGGCGGGGGCGTCATGGCGCCTGGAATGAAAGGGGGGACGGGGGGGGGGG